TATCATGTCGCTTACTCCGTTAGACTTTTCAGATACACTTATTTAGTTTGTAGCCAACTTCATGTCTCTTTCAGATGAAGACTTTGATATTTATGCACTGGCTTGAAGCAGTGAAGTTAGAAAAAAATATGGAATAGGGTAAAGGATATGTTTGATAAATGTCTCAATCATTTACAGACTACCGCTGGTGCTGATGTTGAAGATATAACTTCGTCAGAGAGCAAATATCAAGCCGCTTCCCAGGCATATATTAATAGTTTGGCTTTAATAAATAGGAAACTTGATGACCTACGAACGGTTTCAAATTGCCCCACTGGGATCCCATATTAGATTTTACTTGAATTTAAAGATTGCCTAGAAATACAGTGAGTTTTGGGAACAAATAGTAAAAGATAAATCAGCATTATCAACTTGGGAAGAATTGGATGGATTTCTTTCAGAGAGAATTCAGACACTTACGTGAAAAAAAAACGTTCGCTCCCACTTCTCCAAAATGATCTCTAATAAGACAGCACGTTCCTCTTTGCCCGAAAATATTTTTTAAATTATCAATTGAGAATCGTTATTCAGTACTTCGTCGATACAATTAGTGAATGAATTGTTTAACTTTTGGTCATGATGTGAAGAACTGTGTAAGTAGGCACAGTTGTGGCATGTGTAACAAACGGCATCATACGCTTTTGTATCGTGAAAGATCAAATTTTGAAACTTCAGTGCGACAAATGACTCCGTCCCAAACCTCTTCCAACGTGTCTACCACAAGGTCATCATCGGAACTTAATCCAAATATTCCAACAACTTCAGCGGGAATTTCAAGTAGACAGGTATTTCATGTTTCCCAGAATAGAAGTGTATTGTTAGGAACGACAACTATACATATTATACATCATGGTGTCACATATACAGCTCGTGTCCTAATTGATCCAGCTTCTGATGCTTCATTTATTACGGAAAAAAATCAGCGTCAACTAGGGATTTCAACCAATTCCACTCCTGCCACGATCTCAGGTGTCAACCAGATTTTAACCACACCGCCGAGAAAAGTATGTTCAATTAATATTGGTTCATCAATTAGTGATTCCCTATAATTGCAATAAAGTTCATTAGTAGCCTCCAATATCTCCTACAAGTTGCCATAATTTTCAGTAAGTTCAGACTTCATGTCCCACAGTCCCGATATTCGCTTGGCAGATACACAGTTATTCGATTGTAGATTGATGGGTGCAGACCTTTATCCAAAAATTATATTACAGGGTACTCATATTAATATCTTAGGTACTTTGGTTGCACAAAATACCATATTTGGGAGGATAGTTCCAATTCCACGTTCAAATGTCAGGGTATATTTTCCTTCCGATAAGTTTTGTGAAGATAATTACAAATCTACGACAGTCCGGGACTCTGAAATCAGGAATATTGTTACCCTGCTTGTTAAGCTGGAATATATACACAAGACTGCTTTGGGATATCCGCGAACAAATTCTTTGAAACTATTTCTTCGTAACGAGACTTCACTTCTACGAAAGTCATAAATCAAATAAGTAAATTTAGTAAATTTATATCATATAAGGCCAAATCGAGAGAAACCAACCACAAAGTTTTCAATGCCTCAAGTAAAACTTCAAGTGGTAAAAGTCTTAACGACATTTTGTTTGTGGGTCCTACTTTACAGTTAGACTTAATCCCACTTATATTAAGATGGATATTATTCAAGTGAGTTTTTAATTGTGATATCACCTAGATGTATCGACAAATTAGGGTTACTTCCAAACACACTCTTCTCCAATCAATAGTTTTTAGGGATTCGCCCAATCAACCTGTTCAAGTTTATGAGCTCCAGACTGTTTCTTTTGGTGTAAATTGTGCGCCATATTTGGTTATACGCACTTAATTGCAACTAGCTTCTAATACAGAAAAAGAATTTCCATTAGCTGCGCACATACTTAGAAGATGCATGTATGTAGATGACGTGCTAGCACGATTTATCCCTTGCTCAGAAGTCATGTAATGAATTAAGAAATTAATGGACATCGAATAATTGCATGATCTTGGAAAATTTGCCAGCTGAACATTTGTGTGACACCCAAATTCTTGCCTTTGTTGAAGCTAGTAGCTCTAAGCTATTAGGAATTCGATGGAATGCACAAACCGACTTATTCTTTTTTTTTTTTTTCAAAAACCTAGTTATACTAAACGAGAAGTGTTATCCTGTATTGCTTAACTTTTTGACTCAGTTGGATGGTTAGGTCCCTTGATAATAGTAGCCAAAGTCATAATGCAACGTATATGGCATATAAAATTGATTGGGACGAGTCACTAATCTTCTGCGACGCCAAGTGAATGGCAAAAGTTTGTCGGAACATATAAGAATGTAAATTCCATCCAAATTCCTCGTTGGGTTCGGTATGCCCCAGACTGCCAGGTACAGCTTGACGTTTTTTCTGATGCCTCAGTAAATGCGTACGCGGGGGTAATATTCATCCGTATCGTCATTCCGAATAGAAAATTTTTTACTGATTTATTTTCTTGTAAGACCAAGGTGGCTCGGCTTAAGTCAATTTCTTTGCCAAGGTTGGAACTCTGTGGAACAGTTTTAGCGTCAAAGGTTTTGAAATCTATTATTTCTCAAATTGGACAATAAGTTAATCGTATATATTGTTGGACCGATTCTACGATTGTCCTCTCCTGGCTTAAAAATCTCCTTCAACGTGGTCTACATTTGTTGCTAATAGGATGAGCAGAATACACGAGAACATAAGTGAGGGGTCCTGGTACCACGTGCGTTCGGAAGATAATCCAGCAGATTTAGGTAGCCGTGGTTGTCTCAAATATGGCGGCGTGTTCCTAGATGGCTTAGCGCAGATGGAGTTTCCATTAAAATCTTTTAGATTTATCCACCCTTGATACCGATTTGTAGATCACGTGTAGCGTACCAAAAAAGTACATTATGCGGAAGAATATAATTGTTTGCTTAATAATAGACAATTGGATTCAAAAAGTTTAATCTGAGATGAGTTTGGAATTATAAGGTTTCCGTTTCCAAACATCATCCCATCTTGCTTGCCGTATCAATGCGAATTTACTGATTTGCTAGTAATTGACGTTAACGTAAGGTCCATTCATGCATAATAGACACTTGGATTCTAAAAGTTCAATATTATCGTTAAATCCGTTTTTAGATGAGTTTGAAATTATGAGGTTCAATGGTCGTTTAGTAAGATCCCCTACTCTTTCCTTTCCGTTTCCTACTCTTTCCGAAAAATTAGCCATTGAAATTCTACGATTAGAAAACATTCGTTGTCCAGCAGTTTGTACACAAACAAAATGATCATGTTTACTTGCCAAAGAGGTCAACTAAAAATGTGCAATTTCGGTTGGTCACCAGAACTCATGCGCCGGCCATGGTGATTGTGTCAGCCGTCATAACAGCCCAAATATTGTATGTAACGGTACCTCCCGATATTCGGTGGTTTGTTGATTTTTTCAGGGAATTTTCTAAAAATTGTAGTTCAGTATGTGTAATTTGAAGTTAATGGAAAATAGCAAATTCCCTTTTTAGGAATTTTCAACAATTTTAGTTAGAATTGAAAGTGATGTAAACACAAGTTACACTCAATCCTTGCAAAACCAATACTCAGCAAACATCGATCATCAACAAAATCAGCGTAATCAGTAAAAAAGCTGTAAGTCCACGTCCCATAAACAATAGCTCCGGATATTCGCCATTTTGCTAGTTTTAACCACAATTTTCAGCCATTTTGTCTAAAATATATATGCAATGTTCAATGGCGGAACATTGCACGTAATCCCTATATTCGGTATCTTGATAATTTCTTGCCACATTTTTCAACGGATTAGTCTAAAAATTGGTATTTGTAGGTCATGATGGGTTCTAGCTCCCGTGGTGAAACATTGTATGTATAGGTCCACGTACATCCCGATTTTCGATATTTTGACGATTTTTCACATTTTTCCACGGTGTATAACTAAAATTATCCTAAAATATAGAAAGTTTGTCTTCCTTAGAATTTGCTCAGCACTTGTGCAAATGCAACTTTTTGTTTTCGCACAAAGTGAGTGATATCAAATTCTAGCGAATAACTGCGGGTTTTCCGCCACCTTGCAAGACCGCGCGTACTCGTTGTTTTTAACTTACTCTTTACCTTTACTTGGCTTTGGATATTCGTCCAACAAACCACCACCAATTGTAAAAAAGGTGATAATATTGTTTTTCCGAACAACATTTAATAGAAAGATATTGTTATTTGTGTTTATTATAAAAATCCTTTGTATTTATATTTTCTTTATTTTAATGCCTACGCAAACATTGATCCATTCCAGCCGTATCAAGAAGAATTGCTGACCAAAACAAAAGCATACCTTTTTTTCCTAATTTTATTTTGATTTTTTTTTTTTTGGAAAATTTTGTTGTTGTTGAACATTAGAGTGCATTTTACAGTCCGTGCACCCTACATTTAGTCAACTTAAATGTAATATTTTTTCGTCGAAAATTCTTGTGTGTTTACCAAAACATAAAACAAAATTTGGTACACTAAAAATTTGTGCGAGTTCTTTAATACACTCGGAAAAATATATATATATTTTTATTCGACAGATTTTTTTTTAGTTTTTAGTACGATTTTATATATTCCGATTTCTTGCAATTTGTTTCTTCATTAATTGTCACTTATTAATAAAAGATTACAGTTGTAATTAGATCGAACATTCTTGGAGCTTTCCTTTTTGATTTATTTATAATAAAATAATTGTCGTCAATTCAATTTCTTAATTCTTTTTTTCTTGTGAGCGTTCTTATTGATTTTTATCATGTCGCTTACTCCGTTAGACTTTTCAGATACACTTATTTAGTTTGAAGCCAACTTCATGTCTCTTTCAGATGAAGACTTTGATATTTATGCACTGGCTTGAAGCAGTGAAGTTAGAAAAAAATATGGAATAGGGTAAAGTATATGTTTGATAAATGTCTCAATCATTTACAGACTACCGCTGGTGCTGATGTTGAAGATATAACTTCGTCAGAGAGCAAATATCAAGCCGCTTCCCAGGCATATATTAATAGTTTGGCTTTAATAAATAGGAAACTTGATGACCTACGAACGGTTTCAAATTGCCCCACTGGGATCCCATATTAGATTTTACTTGAATTTAAAGATTGCCTAGAAATACAGTGAGTTTTGGGAACAAATAGTAAAAGATAAATCAGCATTATCAACTTGGGAAGAATTGGATGGATTTCTTTCAGAGAGAATTCAGACACTTACGTGAAAAAAAAAAACGTTCGCTCCCACTTCTCCAAAATGATCTCTAATAAGACAGCACGTTCCTCTTTGCCCGAAAATATTTTTTAAATTATCAATTGAGAATCGTTATTCAGTACTTCGTCGATACAATTAGTGAATGAATTGTTTAACTTTTGGTCATGATGTGAAGAACTGTGTAAGTAGGCACAGTTGTGGCATGTGTAACAAAGGTCATCACACGCTTTTGTATCGTGAAAGATCAAATTTTGAAACTTCAGTGAGACAAATGACTCCGTCCCAAACCTCTTCCAACGTGTCTACCACAAGGTCATCATCGGAACTTAATCCAAATATTCCAACAACTTCAGCGGGAATTTCAAGTAGACAGGTATTTCATGTTTCCCAGAATAGAAGTGTATTGTTAGGAACGGCAACTATACATATTATACATCATGGTGTCACATATACAGCTCGTGTCCTAATTGATCCAGCTTCTGATGCTTCATTTATTACGGAAAAAAATCAGCGTCAACTAGGGATTTCAACCAATTCCACTCCTGCCACGATCTCAGGTGTCAACCAGATTTTAACCACACCGCCGAGAAAAGTATGTTCAATTAATATTGGTTCACCAATTAGTGATTCCCTATAATTGCAATAAAGTTCATTAGTAGCCTCCAATATCTCCTACAAGTTGCCATAATTTTCAGTAAGTTCAGACTTCATGTCCCACAGTCCCGATATTCGCTTGGCAGATACACAGTTATTCGATTGTAGATTGATGGGTGCAGACCTTTATCCAAAAATTATATTACAGGGTACTCATATTAATATCTTAGGTACTTTGGTTGCACAAAATACCATATTTGGGAGGATAGTTCCAATTCCACGTTCAAATGTCAGGGTATATTTTCCTTCCGATAAGTTTTGTGAAGATAATTACAAATCTACGACAGTCCGGGACTCTGAAATCAGGAATATTGTTACCCTGCTTGTTAAGCTGGAATATACACAAGACTGCTTTGGGATATCCGCGAACAAATTCTTTGAAACTATTTCATCGTAACGAGACTTCACTTCTACGAAAGTCATATATCAAATAAGTAAATTTAGTAAATTTATATCATATGAGGCCAAATCGAGTTAAACCAACCACAAAGTTTTCAATGCCTCAAGTAAAACTTCAAGTGGTAAAAGTCTTAACGACATTTTGTTTGTGGGTCCTACTTTACAGTTAGACTTAATCCCACTTATATTAAGATGGATATTATTCAAGTGAGTTTTTAATTGTGATATCACCTAGATGTATCGACAAATTAGGGTTACTTCCAAACACACTCTTCTCCAATCAATAGTTTTTAGGGATTCGCCCAATCAACCTGTTCAAGTTTATGAGCTCCAGACTGTTTCTTTTGGTGTAAATTGTGCGCCATATTTGGTTATACGCACTTAATTGCAACTAGCTTCTAATACAGAAAAAGAATTTCCATTAGCTGCGCACATACTTAGAAGATGCATGTATGTAGATGACGTGCTAGCACGATTTATCCCTTGCTCAGAAGTCATGTAATGAATTAAGAAATTAATGGACATCGAATAATTGCATGATCTTGGAAAATTTGCCAGCTGAACATTTGTGTGACACCCAAATTCTTACCTTTGTTGAAGCTAGTAGCTCTAAGCTATTAGGAATTCGATGGAATGCACAAACCGACTTATTCTTTTTTTTGTTTTTTTTTTTTTTTTCAAAAACCTAGTTATACTAAACGAGAAGTGTTATCCTGTATTGCTTAACTTTTTGACTCAGTTGGATGGTTAGGACCCTTGATAATAGTAGCCAAAGTCATAATGCAACGTATATGGCAGATAAAATTGATTGGGACGAGTCACTAATCTTCTGCGACGCCAAGTGAATGGCAAAAGTTTGTCGGAACATATAAGAATGTCAATTCCATCCAAATTCCTCGTTGGGTTCGGTATGCCCCAGACTGCCAGGTACAGCTTGACGTTTTTTCTGATGCCTCAGTAAATGCGTACGCGGGGGTAATATTCATCCGTATCGTCATTCCGAATAGAAAATTTTTTACTGATTTATTTTCTTGTAAGACCAAGGTGGCTCGGATTAAGTCAATTTCTTTGCCAAGGTTGGAACTCTGTGGGACAGTTTTAGCGTCAAAGGTTTTGAAATCTATTATTTCTCAAATTGGACAATAAGTTAATCGTATATATTGTTGGACCGATTCTACGATTGTCCTCTCCTGGCTTAAAAATCTCCTTCAACGTGGTCTACATTTGTTGCTAATAGGATGAGCAGAATACACGAGAACATAAGTGAGGGGTCCTGGTACCACGTGCGTTCGGAAGATAATCCAGCAGATTTAGGTAGCCGTGGTTGTCTCAAATATGGCGGCGTGTTCCTAGATGGCTTAGCGCAGATGGAGTTTCCATTAAAATCTTTTAGATTTATCCACCCTTGATACCGATTTGTAGATCACGTGTAGCGTACCAAAAAAGTACATTATGCGGAAGAATATAATTGTTTGCTTAATAATAGACAATTGGATTCTAAAAGTTTAATCTGAGATGAGTTTGGAATTATAAGGTTTCCGTTTCCAAACATCATCCCATCTTGCTTGCCGTATCAATGCGAATTTACTGATTTGCTAGTAATTGACGTTCACGTAAGGTCCATTCATGCATAATAGACACTTGGATTCTAAAAGTTCAATATTATCGTTAAATCCGTTTTTAGATGAGTTTGAAATTATGAGGTTCAATGGTCGTTTAGTAAGATCCCCTACTCTTTCCGTTTCCAAACGTCATTGCATCTTGTTGCCGTATCACTGCAAATTTACTCATTTGCTAGTAAATGACGTTAACATAAGGTCCATTCATGGACCAAATCAACTAATGTTGCGAATTATTCGTAGTGAATATTGGATTCCTCGCCTAACGACTTTAGTTCCCACTGTAATCAGTAGATGTAAACGCTGCTCATTGTATAAAAGTCAAGCAGATTATGGCGGCTCTCCCCCCGGAGAGGACAAACATTACCAAACCATTTGCTACGACCGGTGTAGACTTTGCTGGTCCAATTGAGATCAAGTCCTTTACTGGTAGGTGCTGTGAGATCCTAGATAGCATAGCGCAGATAACGACACCAATTTGGTTATGTATGCGTTTTCGTATGCATACATTTAGGAACTGCTTTAGATTTGTCTACGACAACTTTCCTAGCTGCCTTCTACAGGCTTATTTCGCGTAGAGGCTGTCCTAAAACTATGTTTTCTGATAACGACACCAATTTGGCTGGATCTTCTAGAGAAAGATTTTAAGTTTTTTTTTGGAAGAAGGTCGTGAGCGTGTATGCCCCGAATTGCAATGCAACTGCTAGAATTTTCAGTCTTTTACGCAAACACTATAATTGGGTATGGTGCCAATGGGACAGGGAATGTTTTCCCAAATTATGGTAGAGTCCATGTATGAACGGACTCAAAACGTAATGTTGTTTGCTCAGGTGATGTCATTACACCACATTGTAAAGCCTTCAGCGTCCACAGGGCTGCAACTGGCGGATCCGGAGTTTTATAAAGCTGGGCACATAGGTCTTGTTCTTGGATCCGATGTTTATCGTAAAATTAAAAAGACTCAAACTCACAATTTTGGTGGGGTTATTATGGGCCTTGTAGTATGTAGTCATAGTCTAAAGTTTAAGTCGTATTGGGTCATCCTGGCCAAGCTTTAGAAGGCAATCTTTCTTTATCTTTAACATAAAATGAATTAATAAATGGATTTATAAGGGATATATGACGGTTCTACCCTTGAATTTACACAATACTCAATAGCTTACAAGTAGTTCATAAGTTGCAACATCTTTGGGCAACATCGTTTCAATGTGGCCGGCATATGTTTAACTAAAATTATCCTAAAATATGGAATGTTTTTCTTCCTAAGAATTTGCTCATTACTTGCGCGATGCAACTTTTTGTTTTCGCACCAAGTGAGTGATGTCAAATTCTAACGAATAACTAAGGGGTTTCCGCCCCTTTGCCAGACCGAGAGTACTCGTTGTTTTTAACTTACTCTTTATCTTTACTGGCGTTGGATTTTCGTCCGCAACAAACCAATTGTAAAAAAGGTAATTGTTGCGGAGCAGTGTAAATAAAATTAAAGGAAAATAAAACACAGGAAAATTAGTATTTTTGAATTAAAAATTGGCGGTTTTATTGATGATTTATATTAGTCGAAAAACTAATATATAATTTACCTTTGTTGTACAATGGTGTTGCAGAGATGTTTATTGGACGAAGATCCGTGAAACAAGAGAAGTGAAAAAAGCAACGAGAAAACCAAGATGTCTCAAGAGACGCGCAAATTGACAGATAATACTCGTTAGAATTTGCCATCGCTAACTTTGAACGAAAGTTCAAAGTTGAATAAAATGGTATGATGGCAAATTATTAGAAATAATGACGAGTTGCATTTTAAGCTTAGATTTAATTGTAAATTAAACATTACCGCCGCCCTTGAAACATCTAGGTATGTTTAAACAATAATGCTTAGATCTAAAGATTAAAATACAAATAAATGAAAGGTATAACCGTCAATTTTTTTGAGCATTCTTTATTCAGTTTATTTATTTTTTTTTTCATTTTTTTTTCAAAAACAAGTGATGGTCGATGAACCATCAAGACAATAGAAGATTGCCTTCAACAAATTTTAGACCATGGGTCTCGATTTAGGCCGATCATCTCGGGCAACTTCACAGTGGGCAAGGACCGGATACCACCCAACCAAAGATAGTAAGTTGAGCCCAAGGGAACCCTGGGCTCGAATGGGTTTGAGATTTAATAACCTTCGGGTACACATCGGGACCAAGAATTAGTGCGATG